TCTGATCCACTATCACTCTACTCATTTTACATATTGACAAAAAAATAAAAATAAATGTTGCCCTCTTCTTTTTACTTTTTAAGATACCAAACCTAACTATGCATTTCATGCACATCTTGCATAAGGTTGCAGTTAAAGTTAGGTGAGGCTATTTTATAACTTTAGTGACTAATTCAAACAAAACATAGTTGTCATTTCTATCTCAACTGTTCCTTCATTGACTCGTTATGCCAGCTTAGTCTCAGCTTGCCCACATGTGTCCCAGTGTGTCAGATGAAATGCTAACTCCTGTTCAAGTCCACAGTCAAAGCCTGTCAGTGTGACCTCTTAAGAATGAATCAGCCTAATTTATATTCATACAAAGCTGTGTTCCCGTATTTAAACCAAAGTTCCTTCTCCATGATGATTTTCACACATCCTTTCTTCAGAGGTGTGTGATCACCACACCCAGGTTTTGCCACGCAACACTGAACATGATGATGATGGTTGATAAGTGTAAAAAAATGCAAATTTGGCACAGGAGAGCAAGTCGCTTTAGCTGCCACAAAAGCCTGGGCCGGGCTGTTCTTTGGATTATGTGATTAGCTTCGATGTAAAACATGGAGAGGGTCCCGAGAAGGAACTCTAGCTTTGGCAAAATAGAGTCTTAAATGACGGCTCCAATTTTTTAGCTCAGACTGGTGTTTTAAACGAACTAAAATGGAACAAAGCATGTCGTAATTATATTTAATGATGAAGAGTCATTTACTTACACATACTTCAGCACAATATATCATCCTTGGGTCTGCGTCATATATTCCTTGATTGCATAATCTTGATTACACTTAATTAATCGTTACTAAACCCTGTAACTGGAAATGCACCAGGTAGAAAAAAAGTCTTGTATTAAACATTAAAAACAAGTGTGTGACGTTCCCATATAAATCCCCAGGATAAACAGGTTAGTTTGCTGTACTGTGATGGATTGAAAGTAAAGAACAGTGTGTGAGTGGTGCACAGTGGCTGTGGTTTCATGGTCAGAGTTAAGTTACGTCAAGTGCTTAGATTCAGCCTCATATTTATGCAATTGCTATTACTAGGGAGAACACACATGAGGTTTAAGGCCTGGACAAAATGAAAACCTTTTTAGATTGCTGAAAATAAAAAGGTATCACTATAGCCAGGTCCTAATTTTATAATTTCTTCACTCAGCTTTCCAGTCTCCAATATCATTGAAATGCAGCCAGATGCTACTCGTTTTATGCTTTTGCTCATTTTTTCACTTTTTCCTGACACACTTGCATTTATCTCTGTGCACCTGGCCTGCACACCTGCTGTCTTTGGAACATCTGCCCCCTTCTTTCCTTTTGATGGTGTGCCCATCAAAATAAAGTCCCACCCCTGCCTGCATGGAGTTTCAGCAGGGCTGAAGATTAAGCTCCCACATACCAACAAGCCATTATTAACTGACATACATGAAATGATCTCTTATACAATAATATCCGGCCCGTGAGCCACACGTTTGACACTCCTGCACTAAACTGTTGAAGTTTCGATATTGTAAGTAGATCATTATATTGTTGCTTGAAATTTGTGATTGAAAAAATTGTCCTGAAAAAGAGAGCGAGAGTTGCATCTTCATTAAATACGCTGAAGTTGCCCCCTCGCAGCTGATCTGGTCGGAGATGGAAGGTACTTTTGAATTTTGCCTGAAAAGATCTGTCGGCATTTCTACCAAAACTCTGTTAAGTGGAAGGTTGCAGGATTTTACCAGGGAATCAATAAAAGTGAAATTTCTCTGTCATCCAATTAAAACAAAAAATCTATGCTCATGAAAACTTTTTGCCTATGGTTGGCTTTGGTTGATGAGGTGGATTTGATCATTTGCCAATCAGAAATTTTGCTCCTCCACTCTGCATGTTGGATTTTTCCTCACTCCTGAAATGCTGAAAATTATGCACATCTTTAGAGCAGTTAGTGTTGGAAACATATGTCAATATGTTTACACCTGTAGATAGTATTGCACTTGTAGATTAAGTATTCATAAACACAGTAAATACAGTGCTGAAGCCCTTTTTTTTGGTATTTATTCTTAACTCAGAGCTTATGGATAAGAAATTTCCCATTAACACTTTAAATAATATTTCACAAACAACTGTAACAGATTAAATGCACAACCGTGCACTAAATACACCTTACAATTTTCCTTAGAAAGACCTGGCTGCTTTTTTGGCAACATCCTTAGACCCATGCTTTGGATTTAAGTGGAAGCTTGCAGGATTTTAGCAGGTAAACAATAAAAGCGAAATTCATCACGTCCGCAGAGCTGTGAAAAGAAAAAATTTGTGAAAACCCAGGGCCTAGGGCCGCTGTGGTTTAGGAGTTAGAATAAATCTCCAGTCTTCATATCAATATATTTTTGGCTAAGATACTGAACCCTAAGTTGCCCTCGATGTTTCCATCGGAGTGTGAGTGTGACCATTAGACAAGATGCTCAGGTATACCGTGAAAAGCAAGCTAGTACAAATGGGTTAAAAAGGGTTAAAGAGTGTTGGAGCAGTACATCGAGTAGAAAAGTGCCATATAAATGTCAGTCCATTTATTAATAAGCTGTTAAAATAACACAGACATATTTTTCATGTTTTTTCAAATAGTTGCCTACTCACACATTCACCTGACACAAATCAACACTGGAACTAAACTAGATCTGTCTCTCCCACATTATTTAACTTTATTTACCTCTCATTGTCCTTCGCACGTGTCGGATCCGGACTTTTTTGGTTTGGGTCTTTAAATCCTTGTTTATTTGGAATTCTCTGTCTGTGCATTTTTTATGTTCTCATTTTGTAGTTTTCAGGTTTTGCTTTCTTTTTCCAAACCAATCCAACTTTTTTATATAACACTTTAAAAACAACAAAGTTGACCAAAGTGCTTTCCAATAATAAAACAGAGATAGCAGTTAAAACCATACATTAAGCAGACAAAGAAATAAATTGGAATAACAATAAAACAAATACATAAGTGAAAAAGAAGATAAAAACAAATCAGTATATATATTAAATATTAAAACATGAGTAAATTAGACAATAAGATATACAATGAATAAAATTAACAAAATAAAAAGATTAAGAGTGACCAACAGCTGACTAAAACTTTCACATATATTTTTTAAATTTTCTTATATTTTGGCACCGTTTCAGCCTCTTAGTACCAACTGAGCATTGTGCAAACCTCACAAATATATTCAGTATTCAGCTCTTAGACTGGTTTCTTGAACATGATAGTGAGTTCAAATGGTTTCCACAGTCACCAGATCTCAATCCAGTAGAGCACCTTTGGGCTGTGGTGGATGAGCCATATAAGTACCACACATGTACCAGTCACATCACATTCACATCATATGCTACTGCAAGGTGTTACTAATGAAATGGCCATTGAGTATATATTTTGGTCTGTGACAGAAACTATTGAAAAGGCACATCATAAGAAACATTTGTAGAGTTTTGGTTAAATTCACTGCGCTTTTTCAGATATTTTATTCACTACTTTGTACTTGCTTTGAATCCTTTACGTATATTATGTTGCATGAACAAAGTAAAATTAATCTGTTTTGTAATTTCAGTTACTTGTTCTGATTAATTATGAGTGACATTTTTAATAATTGGGTGTCCTTGGCTCACCAACTTAGTTTCCTGCATATTTGTGTTGATATATCTGTGATTCTTTGCCAATTCAAATGTTAGCAAAGCAAAGCTATTATTATGCAGTGATTTCTCTCTTAGCCTACAGCAGAAATTCTAGTTTGTTCTATTATAATGTCACTCTCTGAGATTTCAAGTCACGCAGAGGGAGTGCTCTCATCTGTAATCTTTGAAGGCCACTTGCATGTTTTTGACACATTGTGTTCTTGAGAAACTTGAGACCACCACACCTGACTTTTGCCACTCGACAACAACAGTGAAAAATGTAAGAATACTCAAAACTTAACTTTAATCTTCATTGTCTGTTTGTTCTTGGTGTGAAAATCCACACGTAGGTGATGGAAACAAATGGCAGTTTCCTTATATACTCATTTGACATTACTTGGTAATTACATGCGAAACTTTGCACACAATGTTCCGTCCGTTTAAAGGATATGCAATATGTTCTCTTGTAGAAGCTAAGCTGTTTGTATTTGGGTTTTATTTTAGATTATAGATATAGTTAAAATATAAACAAGCCAATTTGTCTAATAACTTTGGAGCGTGCATGTAAAAATTGTCAAACAAACCCATTAATTACTTACCCATAACATGTTCTCACATGCATCTGTGGAATTTGATTTATCACAAGGTTTTCAGACAGTTTCCACAAACATGTCAGTCATAAGATATTGACGTTATCATTTTTATGTGACTAATGTCTTTGCATCTGGTTTACAACAAACAACAGGTGTTTTCCGTACAGTCTGTTTTGTGACACACTTTTTCTTGTTAGTAAGATAGAAAAGCCAATCACGCCTGTCGGGTTTCTTCTTTCCACACTTGAAAACCTGCCAAACCTGAGGGAAGCTGTAATACAAGGACAAAGCTCAGTGTAATCAGAGGGCATCCGGCTCTGCATGTCACAACCTGGCCAGCTTGATAAGGAAGCTTCGCACCAAGTCCAGTTTACACATTGCAAAAAGTAAAAAATATTGACTAGGAAAGTGAATGAAACCCTTGTGAAGAACCTTCACGACTCTTAAGAATCTGTACAGTCAACAAAGCTTACTTTATCTTATGCATAACTTTAATAAATCTCCTTACCTTTTGTACACTTAGAAAGAATCAATTTGCTCACCCTTATTGTTTTAGAGCACAATAGACATGCTCCGTGGAAGTCTGCAGGAATTCCTGGCATCCTGAGCTCAGTGCAAAGGATCTCCGGCTGTCTCACTCTCACACCCCCAGGCGAGGAGGCTGAACCTCAACAGGGGAGGGGCTTAGCTGGCCCTGCCTTATATCTGACCACTGAGGAGTGAATACCTCTGAGATGCTGGGAGCACTTCAGGGTTGTGGTATCTTTCATACCAGCTGAAGCTGAACGCTCGCCGGTGCAGAGCTGGGATATCATCCAAGCACGTTTGGGTAAGAGCAAGTTTATTTAAAATCTTTTTTTAGTTTGGTTGTGTAAAAATCAGCAGTGTCTTTGTTTTGGTTTTTCTAAAGAAAACAAACTTTTTCCTTGAGTTGCGTTTACATAAAACTGGAACCACATTTAGAAAATTATTTTCTTCAGAGTGAGAAAGTGGAGACTGCATTGGCAAAGTAAAACGAGAGGAAGCAGAACGTGTGTCTATCCTGTCCTGTTAGCCAACACCCTCAGATAAAAGGGAATGCGCACATTCCTCACTGATCACCTTTGACCGCCGCTGGTAAAATAAATGTGCCTGTATGTCACTAATGAGGCTTTCAACAAGTCTAAACACTGTGCTGACATCACCCTGGGATCTATTTACACAATGACTCCAAGACTTTCCGCAGTTACAGCTACAAAAACTGTTGTGCAACGCCTGAATCAGTGGTACTATATTGCCTCATTCATTCCTAGCCAGTAAGTTGTATTTTATTGCTGGGGTGGCATTAAAAATGCACCACAATGGCTGAAGTGCACATAGGATGTAATTAGGCTTGTTGCTACAAGTGAGAGAAAGTTGTGAGCAATTTGCAGTTCAGTGTCAATCTTAAAACTGCTCTATTGATTCTCCACAAAAGCATGCTAGATTAGCTGTTTATCAATGCCAACATCTTGTTATCCAGACAGATCCTTGGCTCAACCTAAAGATTTACAGTTAGAATTATCATAACTTGTTCATGTCACGTGATTATATATTCCTTAGGAAGTATATAGTCCACTTTCTTACTGAACTGGTACTATTTTATATCAGTTGTTACTTGTGGTTCTTAAGACTTTCCTCATCTAAAATCAAAGTAAATAATTTAACTTTACAAGAAAATACAGAAGTCAGAGCTCACAAAAGTGATTCTTTGTTATGGTACTACTGTATAGTCTAATGTAACTAAATGCTCTTTTAACTTTAGTTCTACATTAGTGAGGCCTCTAATTAGTTCTCCTTAACACCATCACACAGCTGTGAAGTCAATTATGTTTTTTAGCACTGAGGTTCCAGAGTTGTTTGCTGGACTCTGGTATGTTCAGGGGTGTGTCATGTATGCTGGTGCCAACAATAAAGCCCAGAAACACCTCTGCAAACCAAGTCTGACTAAGATCAACTGTAACTAAGAGTACTAGATAATTCTATTTCCACATTTGCAACAGTGTCACTAAAAATGGAACTTTATGATGAAATACACACGTGGCAGATCATACCTAATAAAGAGGCCTCTGAATATACACTCAGTTGTGCTTAGAGGTCTTATAAAGACAAAAAAGAAAGCGAAATCTTTTAAAAAGTCATTTATTTTATATCTGCTCTTGCATTGAACGGACAGTGCCTTCCTTCACTGAGGAAAAGGCATTTAGTGGAGAGACCAGTAAACAGTGAAGCTGTGTTTGCAGAGTTAGGTAACTTGTTAACTTTGTGCAGGAAATGTATTTGCCTTTATGATATGACAAGCAAATTCAGATGGTGCCATAAATGTACAGTAAATGCTTGACAGCTTCAAAAACATTCAAATATTTACAAAGTGGGTGACGAACTCAAGATGTAAATTGAGCACTTGCAGGTAGAGATACCGAACTGCCACAGACCTGCTGCTCTTGTACAAATAAAGAGTTCAGCAGACCTCAGATCCACAGCTGTTTGTGTTACTCTGCTTATCTTGGTTACTTGGAGCATCTTTTTGCCACTTTATCAATAACAGCTGTTAAATACACTTCTCAGGTAGAGCAGCTCACACAGCCTAAACCAAACATTTTACCACAGTAAACAAGTGAAAATAATCACATACACAGTGGAGCTTTATCTGTGACTTAACAGTTAACATGTTTCTGAGTAGATTGGCTGAGTTTCAGTTCACACCCTTTTTTTCTGAGCCTTATTGTGTTGACTCCCACAGGTGTTATGACATCATTTGTGACAGTTACCAACCCCCACAAGGCTGAAAGACTGGTTCTCAGAAAATTGTGAAATCACTACATTTTTTTTTGACACTTTTTATTTGTTTAGGAACATTTTTATGCAACAAGATAAAATAAAAAAAGAAAAAGAAAAAACAGAAACAGTATGAGGTCATGGGAAGCTAACATGCACCTGTACATACATCTGCACATCCACACATACATAGAAATCACTACATTTTTGTATGCAATAGTAATTACTAGCTATGAGAATAATTAACTGAGATTTTTTTGAAAATCTCTTTGTAAAGCTTTTTCAGTACAGTAACATCTCATGTACCACATAAGAATATGCTTAAAGGTTATACATTTGCTTTTATTATTCCCTGTTTTTCAGTTTAGTACCCTAAGTACAAGTGGATGTGTATAAATTTGGGTTATGTTGTAGAATTTGTAAACAAGCTCTTTATAAGTTCTTTAAATGGGGATTCTTTAAATTTAAAAGGGATTAATAAAGTTTTATCTAATCTAATCTCTAATCTAAATAATACTGGACCGGAATGCAAATCGATTCAGTTTTTTAAAACATTTATATATTATTTTACCTTGAAGCTGATATTTTTATGCCATGGTGACTTTAGCTCTTTTGTGACTTTTCTGGCTGACATAAAAAATGAGGGTCTAACAAGCAAACAAAACTCAGCCACAAGTTTATAAAACTTTTAATCTCTACTGGAACCCAAAACAAAGTTCTGCAGATTTAGACTTTGGTGCACAGGATTGCAAGAGATATGAACTCTTGTACTTGCAGTTATTGGTTTTCCTTTGCATGTTGTTGCAAAACAGGGCATCTGGCTGTTCCAGTTTTGACACACCATTATTATTGCCAAAAGCAAATGGGGGACGTTCTCACACATTATGTAATTAATAGCTTCTTTTGTTGTTGAATCTGTGCAGGGACATGATGAAATGATAAGAAAAACTATTAGAAAACAAAAAACAAAAGAGAGTATTGATGCATTAGAAACCTGCCCACATGGGTTTATAAGACACATACACACAGACTGTACAGTTAGGCTTTATTTTTATGGGGTGGGTGGGTCAGTCATGGACAGTAGTTGTTTGCAAGCAAGCCATACAGACTTGAATAATTGTCATGGTAACAACTTATAATTAAAGTATTACTAACATAGTAGGAAAAAAAAACATTTTACCTACATCCTTTGGATTGTCTCATATGCAGTCTGCATAGGTCAGTGATGAAATGGTGAGTATTTTACCCATATGTGATTTAGAAAGTTCATGAGAAATGTCATAAACTAATTTCAATATCAAATCATTAACACAAAGTTTAAGATCAAACTTATTACAACCGTCTTATCTTTCCAGGGACGGAGTTTCAAAGCCCTGAGATCGTAAAAACCAGGAAGCCACTGGCGTTGGATCTTGTATTTTGGAACAACAGAGAGCATCCAAGGCTGTCCACGTACTCCTAAGGAAATTGAAAGGTTTGATATTACAGTTGGAAGATAATATATTCCAAAACTTACACTACAATTAATAGAAATAAAACTAATTACCATCTATTTCAATTTCAATTGCTCCAGACTAGTTATTAAGTTATTTAAGCGATTCAGAGTTATGCTGGATACTAATGTGTTAATTTTACCAGACTTCAGTACTATTTGTCATTGCAAACTATTCTACAACCTTCTCTACCTTGCTGGAGTATATTCTCTATCACATTAGTCTCTATTACTAGTGAAAGGTCACTGTTGCATCCAGCATAAAACTCTGCCCAATTAATCTTGTGGTGCTCGCTGCTGTGGCGACCCCTTGTGGCAAGGGAAAAGCTGAAAATAGCTTTACAGTTAGTACATAACAATGTCACTGTCAAACATGTAACGTTAGAAATTGCATTATGGCGCAAAACAGCAGTAGTAAAAGAAATTTTTCGACAAAATGTCTTACTGCATCTAATTTGGTGAACGTCTGAATAATTTGTGTATAAAAAAAATAACTGTATAAAAACCTGACAAGTTTTTTTTTTTTAACATACAAATCAATACATGTGTATTTTATAAGCAGTTTAACTGCAGTGTGCCCAAATGTATCTTAGAGCTGTGCTTTACAATTACTTACAATGCATAAAATACCATATACAAAACAAGCTCTGTAACTGTTTATGTGTTAACACAGCCCTTTAGGTCAAGATGGACACCAACCTTAAGGACGGCGGTGTGAAGCAAAATGCCTGCACAAAAGTCCATGAACCTGTGGCTGGTATATTTCTGGAAAAGACAAAGACAAAGATAACCATATATGAAGCCATGAAGAAGCGTATGCTTAAGCCAGGAACAGCACTGGCTCTGCTTGAAGCACAAGCTGCCACAGTAGGTATTGTAGATCCAGTAAGCAACCAAAAGCTTCCTGTAGAGGATGCTGTTAAAAAGGGAATAGTTGGATCAGAGATGAAAGACAAACTCCTTAAAGCAGAAAAAGCCATCACTGGGTATGTAGACCCCTACACCAACCAAATGATATCTGTATTCCAAGCTATGCAAAAAGATTTAGTTCCAAAAGATTATGGATTGAGGCTGCTGGAAGCACAGATAGCCACAAAAGGCCTGTTTGATCCTGTCGATAAGACAAATATTTCAGTTGACTCTGCAATTCAGAAGGGCTACTATGAAAAAGATTTGCTGAAGGACCAAATGTCAGAGCTCAGAGTGTTTTATCATCCAACTTTGCAACAAAATCTTAACTACAGAGGCCTCCAAAAGCAATGCATCGTGGAGCCCGATACAGGCCTGTTGCTTCTTCCTGTCTGCATCACCTTCAAAGGTCTGCGCAAAGGCATTTCCTCCACCGAGCTCCTTGAATCAAAGATCATCGACAAAGAAACATATGATAACCTGCAAAAGGGGAAGACCACAACACAGGACGTGATGTTGATTGAAACAGTGAAAGAATACCTGGAAGGCAAAGGCAGCATTGCAGGCATTGCTATACTCCCAACCAATCAGAGAATGAGCATTTATAAAGCCATGAAGCAAGGCATACTGATGCCTGGGACATCACTTGTTCTCTTGGAGGCACAAGCTGCTACTGGATACATGATTGATCCTGTAGAAAATAAAAAGTACACTGTGGATGAAGCTGTCAAAAGCAAACTTATTGGCCCAGAATATCATGCAAAGCTGCTCTCTGCTGAGCGGGCAGTGACCGGATACAAAGACCCATACACCAGTGAAACTATATCCCTGTTTCAAGCACTCTCAAAAGACCTCATCGTCAAACAACATGGAATCCGCCTACTTGAAGCACAAATTGCTACAGGTGGAATAATTGATCCAATCAACAGTCACAGACTTCCTACAGAAGTGGCCCTTAAGAGAGGTTATTTTGATGAACAAATGAATGCCATATTGGAGGATTCAGGGGATGACACAAAAGGCTTTTTTGATCCAAACACAGAAGAAAATCTAACCTATCTTCAGTTGATGGAAAGGTGTGTCACTGATCCTGCTACTGGACTCTGCCTCCTTCCTTTGCGTGATAAATCAGATGGGCTAAATTTTGATTTCATTGACTACCAAACTAAAACAGCCTTCAAGATGGAGAAAGTGAAAGTGACATATGGCAAATATACAGGAATGACAGTATCTCTGTGGGAACTTCTGATGTCAGAATATTTTGATGAAAACCAGAGGCAAGACATCTTTCGAAAATACAGAGAGGGGAAGATAACTATCAAGATGATCATTTCAACAGTTCTGGAAGTGATAGAAAAGTCAGTGAAAACAACTCAAGTCGTCTTTGAAGGTATCAGAGACACTGTTACAGCCAAGCAGCTTGTGGAAGCCGATATCATTAGTCAGGAGGTCCTAGAGGACCTGAAGAAGGGAAAGAAGTCAGTGAAGGAAGTCATTGAAGATGAAAATGTAAATGTGTACTTAAAAGGTAAAGACAGCATCGCAGGTATTATGCTTCCTGATTCTCAAATCATGACCATCTACCAGGCCAAACAGAAAGGAAAGCTGATGCCAGGAACTGCTCTGATTCTACTGGAGGCACAGGCAGCAACAGGGTTCATTATTGACCCTATTGGAAATAGAAAGTTTTCAGTTGATGATGCTGTCAAAGCAAAGATTGTGGGGCCTGATGTGTGTCAAAAGCTGCGATCGGCAGAGAAAGCGGTTACTGGATACAAAGATCCATACACTGGAGAAATAATTTCTTTGTTCCAAGCAATGCAAAAAGACCTGATCCTAAAAGACCATGGCATTAGGCTCCTGGAGGCCCAAATTGCCACTGGTGGGATCATCGACCCAGTGAACAGCCATCGCATACCTGTCCATGTGGCCTATAAGAAGGGGTACTTTAATGAAGAAATGAATCAGATCCTGGATGATCCAAGTGATGACACCAAGGGATTCTTTGACCCCAACACCCACGAGAACCTGACATACTTGCAGCTCATGGCCAGATGTGTAACAGATCCTAGTACAGGCCTGTGCCTCTTACCTCTCAAAGGCAAGAGCAACAAAATAAAGATAGATGACAACATTAGGGAATTGTTTAAAACAACAATAGTTACTGTAAAGTACGGTAGGTTCAAGGGCAAACGCACAACATTGTGGGATCTTATCAACTCAGAATATCTGTCTGAAGACAAACGACAGGAGTTTTTCAAGCTCTTCAGGTCAAAGAAAATCACAATTCAGCAACTAACTGAGACCATTGTAGAGATCATTGAGAGTAAGGAGATACGACAGCAAGAAGGACTGAAGTTTGAAGGTCTCAGAGGAGAAGTCTCTGCTGTGGATCTTTTGGATCTTAAAATTGTGGATAAAAACACCTACAACAGTTTGATCACTGGAAACATGACAAGCAGTGATGTGATGAAAATGGACAGTGTGAGAGCCTACCTACAAGGAAAAAGCTGTGTAGCTGGGTTGATACTGCAACCTTCAAATAAAAAACTAAGCATTCACGAGGCACAGAGAATTGGCATTCTTGCACCTGGGACTGCCCTTTGCCTCCTTGAAGCACAAGCAGCTACAGGATTTGTTGTTGATCCTCTGAATAACAAAAAACTTACAGTTGAACAAGCTCTCAAAGAAAAGTTGATTAGTCCACAGATGTATGAAAAACTTTTGTCTGCGGAAAGAGCAGTCACTGGTTACAAAGATCCATACACAGGTCAGAAGATCTCGCTCTTCCAAGCGTTGAAAAAAGATCTTATTGTCAACCAGCATGGCATTCGTTTACTTGAGGCCCAGATTGCTACAGGTGGTATCATCGATCCCTTAAAGTGTCTCCACTTACCCCTTGAAGTTGCATACAAGAAGGGATATTTTGATGAAGAACTTAATCAAATCCTAACAGACCCAACTGATGACACAAAGGGCTTTTTTGACCCAAACACAAAAGAAAATCTGACATACATGGAGATGTTGGGGAGATGTGTGAAAGACAAGGAAACTGGACTGTTTCTCCTGCCACTGAATGACACACCAAAAGCTACAGCTACAAAGAAAAAGATATATTCTGACACAGAGATTAAGGAAGAGTTTGAAAAGACAAGTGTCAGCATATCTGTAGGACACTATTCTGGAAAATCGGTTACTCTATGGGACTTGATTCATTCTGGCTACTTTACTGAGGATCAGCGACTTGAACTGATTGAAAAGTACAGAACAAGGCAGATTAGTACCCAGACCATAATCACATTAGTGATTACCACAATAGAAAAACTGGAGAAGACTGAAACTCCCAAAATGATAATGGGTCTGAGAAAGCATGTCACTGCAAAACAACTACTGGATTCTGAAATCATTGATGCAGAAACATTTAAACAGGTGAAAGAAGGAAAACTCAATTTAGAAACAATAGCGCAGAGTGAACCTGTGAGAGGATACCTAAAAGGATCTGGAAGCATTGCTGGAGTGAAGGTTTATCCATCCCAGAAAGTGATGAGCATATATGAAGCAAGAAATGAAGACCTGTTGACACCTGGCATTGCACTTCTACTACTTGAAGCTCAAGCTGCAACAGGATGGATCATTGATCCCCTCAAAAATGAGTTCCATGCTGTGGAAGAGGCTGTAAAAGGAAGACTGATTGGGCCAGATGTACGTGAGCAACTTCTCTCAGCTGAACGAGCTGTCACTGGGTATAAAGATCCATATACAGATGTGACAATATCACTGTTTGAAGCCATGCAAAAAAAGCTGAGAGAAAGAAGCTATGGCCTTCGGATACTTGATGTGCAGATAGCAACAGGAGGAATTATTGACCCAAATCAAAGTCACAGACTGCCAATTCATATTGCTATCAAAAAAGGATGTCTGGATGAAGAAACTCAAAAAATTCTGTTGAACCCCACAGATGATGAAAAAGGATTCTTTGACCCAAATACCAAAGAAAAACTGTCATACAGTCCGCTCATGAATAGATGTGAGAAAGATGATAAAACTGGGCTACTTCTCCTACCGCTGCTTGAAGAAAAAGCCCGTGTATTTCACACAGATGAGCAAATCGAGCATGCTTTGAAAAACAAAATGATGACCTTGAATGTGGGAAAATTTAAAAACAAGGAGGTCACACTGTGGGAAGTGCTGCTATCTGAATACATATCAGAACAAAAAAGGGAGCAGCTTATACAGCAATACCGGACAGGAGTGACCAAAATTGAGGAGATGATTGAAATACTCACAGTTATAGTCACAGAGGTATCATCCAAGGAAAGAAAGTTCAAAGGACTACGAAAACAAGTCTCAGCCAGTGAATTATTTGAGTCAAAGATCATCTCAAAGGACCTTTTCACCCAAATTATAAAAGGTGAAGTAACAGAAGAAACTGTTGTCAAAATGGAAAATATTCAGAAGTATCTTGGAGCAACAAACTGTATAGCAGGTGTGAGAGTTGAATCAACAAAAAAGATGATGAGCATCTATGAAGCTAAAAGCAAAGGTCTGCTGACTCCAGGTACATCTCTGGTTCTGCTGGAAGCCCAAGCTGCCACAGGCTTCATCATTGACCCAATCAACAACAAGAAACTTTCTGTAGAAGAAGCTGTGGCTCAAGGAGTGGTTGGGAAGGAGTGGGAAAAAAAACTGATCTCAGCAGAAAGGGCAGTGACAGGATACAAAGATCCGTACACTGGACAAACAATTTCTTTGTTCCAGGCCTTGAAAAAGGATCTCATTGTGAAAGATCATGGAATTCGTCTCCTTGAAGCTCAAATTGCAACTGGAGGCATAATCGATCCAGTCCATAGCCATCGAGTCCCCATACAGGTGGCATATCAGAGAGGTTACTTTGATGAAGAAATGAACCAGATTTTATCTGATGCTGATGATGACACCAAGGGCTTCTTTGACCCCAACACTCAGGAGAACCTCACATATCTCCAGCTGATTGAGAGGTGCGTCAGAGACCCAAATACAGAGCTTAACTTACTGTCTATTGTGAAGAAAGGAGAGTTTTACTTCTTTGTGGATGAGGCAACTAAATGTATTCTGAAGTCTACAACAACAACCCGAGCTGAAGGAAAATACAGAGGCCAAACAGTGTCTCTCTGGGATCTGCTCTATTCCAAATACATCACTGAGGAGAAGCGGAGAGACCTTGTGCAACAGTACAAGGCTGGATCAATCACAATAGAGCGCTTTTTAGAAATCATCCTGACAATCATTGAGCAGCATACACAAGACACAACCTCATCATCTCCTTCAATTGTCATGTCCCAACCACCAGAAACTAAAGTAGATGGTAGCACAACAAAAACTACTGTAACCACAACAATTACAGAAACTAGTGAAGTTGAAAAGTTCCATGGAATCAGAAAAGATGTCTCTGCTACTGAGCTGCTCAAATCCAAAATCATTGATGAGAAACTCTACAAAGACATTAGCGCTGGAAAAGTTACAGTAACAGAAGTAAGTGAAATGGATTCAGTGCGCAAATACCTTGAGGGGACCAACAGCATTGCAGGAGTTTATCTTCAGTCCACCCACGAAACCCTCAGTATCTATGAAGCTAAAAGCAAAGGTCTGCTGACTCCAGGTACATCTCTGGTTCTGCTGGAAGCCCAAGCTGCCACAGGCTTTATCATTGACCCAGTCAACAACAAAAAGCTTTCTGTAGAGGAAGCTGTGGCTCAAGGAGTGGTTGGGAAAGACTGGGAAAAAAAACTGATCTCAGCAGAAAAGGCAGTGACAGGATACAAAGATCCGTACACTGGAAAAACAATTTCTTTGTTCCAGGCCTTGAAAAAAGATCTCATTGTGAAAGATCATGGAATTCGTCTCCTTGAAGCTCAAATTGCAACTGGAGGAATAATTGACCCAGTGCACAGTCACAGAGTGCCTGTACAAGTGGCATATGAAAGAGGTTACTTTGATGAAGAAATGAACCAGATTTTATCGGATCCTGATGATGACACCAAGGGCTTCTTTGACCCCAACACTAAGGAGAACCTCACATACCTCCAGCTGGTTGAGAGGTGTATTACAGATCCCATTACAGGCCTCAGTTTACTTGTCATTGTCAAGAAAGGAGAGTTTTACTTCTTTGTGGATGAGGCAACTAAACGTATTCTGAAGTCTACAACAACAACCCGAGCTGGAGGAAAATACAGAGGAAAAACAGTGTCTCTCTGGGATCTACTCTACTCCAAATATATAATTGAAGAGAAGCGGAGAGACCTTGTGCAACAGTACAAGGGTGGATCAATCACAATAGAGCGCTTTTTAGAAATCATCCTGACAATCATTGAGCAGCATACACAAGACACAACCTCATCATCTTCTTCAATTGTCATGTCCCAACCACCAGAAACTAAAGCAGATAGTAGCACAACAAAAACTACCATCACCACTACAATTACAGAAACTAGTGAAGTTGAAAAGTTCCATGGAATCAGAAAGGATGTCTCTGCTACTGAGCTGCTCAAATCCAAAATCATTGATGAGAAACTCTACAAAGATCTTAGCGCTGGAAAAGTTACAGTAACAGAAGTAAGTGAAATGGATTCAGTGCGCAAATACCTTGAGGGGACCAACAGCATTGCAGGAGTTTATCTTCAGTCCACCAAAAAGACAATGAGTATCTATGAAGCTAAAAGCAAAGGTCTGCTGACTCCAGGTACATCTCTGGTTCTGCTGGAAGCCCAAGCTGCCACAGGCTTTATCATTGACCCAGTCAACAACAAAAAGCTTTCTGTAGAGGAAGCTGTGGCTCAAGGAGTGGTTGGGAAAGAGTGGAAAAACAAACTGATCTCAGCAGAAAGGGCAGTGACAGGATACAAAGATCCGTACACTGGAAAAACAATTTCTTTGTTCCAGGCCTTGAAAAAAGATCTCATTGTGAAAGATCATGGAATTCGTCTCCTTGAAGCTCAAATTGCAACTGGAGGAATAATTGACCCAGTGCACAGTCACAGAGTGCCTGTACAAGTGGCATATGAAAGAGGTTACTTTGATGAAGAAATGAACCAGATTTTATCGGATCCTGATGATGACACCAAGGGCTTCTTTGACCCCAACACTAAGGAGAACCTCACATACCTCCATCTAGTTGAGAGGTGTATTACAGATCCCATTACAGGCCTCAGTTTACTTGTCATTGTCAAGAAAGGAGAGTTTTACTTCTTTGTGGACGAGGCAACTAAACGTATTCTGAAGTCTACAACAACAACCCGAGCTGGAGGAAAATACAGAGGTCAAACAGTGTCTCTCTGGGATCTACTCTACTCCAAATACATCACTGAGGAGAAGCGGAGAGACCTTGTGCAACAGTACAAGGCTGGATCAATCACAAAAGAGCGCTTTTTGGAAATCATCCTGACAATCATTGAGCAGCATACACAAGACACAACCTCATCATCTTCTTCAATTGTCATGTCCCAACCACCAGAAACTAAAGCAGATAGTAGCACAACAAAAACTACTGTAACCACAACAATTACAGAAACTAGTGAAGTTGAAAAGTTCCATGGAATCAGAAAAGATGTCTCTGCTACTGAGCTGCTCAAATCCAAAATCATCGATGAGAAGCTCTACAAAGATCTTAGCGCTGGAAAAGTTACAGTAACAGAAGTAAGTGAAATGGATTCAGTGCGCAAATACCTTGAGGGGACCAACAGCATTGCAGGAGTTTATCTTCAGTCCACCCACGAAACCCTCAGTATCTATGAAGCTAAAAGCAAAGGTCTGCTGACTCCAGGTACATCTCTGGTTCTGCTGGAAGCCCAAGCTGCCACAGGCTTTATCATTGACCCAGTCAACAACAAAAAGCTTTCTGTAGAGGAAGCTGTGGCTCAAGGAGTGGTTGGGAAAGACTGGGAAAAAAAACTGATCTCAGCAGAAAAGGCAGTGACAGGATACAAAGATCCGTACACTGGAAAAACAATTTCTTTGTTCCAGGCCTTGAAAAAAGATCTCATTGTGAAAGATCATGGAATTCGTCTCCTTGAAGCTCAAATTGCAACTGGAGGAATAATTGATCCAGTGCACAGTCACAGAGTGCCTGTACAAGTGGCATATGAAAGAGGTTACTTTGATGAAGAAATGAACCAGATTTTATCGGATCCTGATGATGACACCAAGGGCTTCTTTGACCCCAACACTAAGGAGAACCTCACATACCTCCATCTAGTTGAGAGGTGTATTACAGATCCCATTACAGGCCTCAGTTTACTTGTCATTGTCAAGAAAGGAGAGTTTTACTTCTTTGTGGACGAGGCAACTAAACGTATTCTGAAGTCTACAACAACAACCCGAGCTGGAGGAAAATACAGAGGTCAAACAGTGTCTCTCTGGGATCTACTCTACTCCAAATACATCACTGAGGAGAAGCGGAGAGACCTTGTGCAACAGTACAAGGCTGGATCAATCACAAAAGAGCGCTTTTTGGAAATCATCCTGACAATCATTGAGCAGCATACACAAGACACAACCTCATCATCTTCTTCAATTGTCATGTCCCAACCACCAGAAACTAAAGCAGATAGTAGCACAACAAAAACTACCATCACCACTACAATTACAGAAACTAGTGAAGTTGAAAAGTTCCATGGAATCAGAAAAGATGTCTCTGCTACTGAGCTGCTCAAATCCAAAATCATCGATGAGAAGCTCTACAAAGATCTTAGCGCTGGAAAAGTTACAGTAACAGAAGTAAGTGAAATGGATTCAGTGCGCAAATACCTTGAGGGGACCAACAGCATTGCAGGAGTTTATCTTCAGTCCACCCACGAAACCCTCAGTATCTATGAAGCTAAAAGCAAAGGTCTGCTGACTCCAGGTACATCTCTGGTTCTGCTGGAAGCCCAAGCTGCCACAGGCTTTATCATTGACCCAGTCAACAACAAAAAGCTTTCTGTAGAGGAAGCTGTGGCTCAAGGAGTGGTTGGGAAAGACTGGGAAAAAAAAATGATCTCAGCAGAAAAGGCAGTGACAGGATACAAAGATCCGTACACTGGAAAAACAATTTCTTTGTTCCAGGCCTTGAAAAAAGATCTCATTGTGAAAGATCATGGAATTCGTCTCCTTGAAGCTCAAATTGCAACTGGAGGAATAATTGACCCAGTGCACAGTCACAGAGTGCCTGTACAAGTGGCATATGAAAGAGGTTACTTTGATGAAGAAATGAACCAGATTTTATCGGATCCTGATGATGACACCAAGGGCTTCTTTGACCCCAACACTAAGGAGAACCTCACATACTTCCAGCTGGTTGAGAGGTGTATTACAGATCCCATTACAGGCCTCAGTTTACTTGTCATTGTCAAGAAAGGAGAGTTTTACTTCTTTGTGGACGAGGCAACTAAACGTATTCTGAAGTCTACAACAACAACCCGAGCTGGAGGAAAATACAGAGGAAAAACTGTGACTCTCTGGGATCTACTCTACTCCAAATACATCACTGAGGAGAAGCGGAGAGACCTTGTGCAACAGTACAAGGCTGGATCAATCACAATAGAGCGCTTTTTAGAAATCATCCTGACAATCATTGAGCAGCATACACAAGACACAACCTCATCATCTTCTTCAATTGTCATGTCCCAACCACCAGAAACTAAAGCAGATAGTAGCACAACAAAAACTACCATCACCACTACAATTACAGAAACTAGTGAAGTTGAAAAGTTCCATGGAATCAGAAAAGATGTCTCTGCTACTGAGCTGCTCAAATCCAAAATCATTGATGAGAAACTCTACAAAGATCTTAGCGCTGGAAAAGTTACAGTAACAGAAGTAAGTGAAATGGATTCAGTGCGCAAATACCTTGAGGGGACCAACAGCATTGCAGGAGTTTATGTTCAGTCCACCAAAAAGACAATGAGTATCTATGAAGCTAAAAGCAAAGGTCTGCTGACTCCTGGTACATCTCTGGTTCTGCTGGAAGCCCAAGCTGCCACAGGCTTTATCATTGACCCAGTCAACAACAAAAAGCTTTCTGTAGAGGAAGCTGTGGCTCAAAGAGTGGTTGGGAAAGAGTGGAAAAACAAACTGATCTCAGCAGAAAAGGCAGTGACAGGATACAAAGATCCGTACACTGGAAAAACAATTTCTTTGTTCCAGGCCTTGAAAAAAGATCTCATTGTGAAAGATCATGGAATTCGTCTCCTTGAAGCTCAAATTGCAACTGGAGGAATAATTGACCCAGTGCACAGTCACAGAGTGCCTGTACAAGTGGCATATGAAAGAGGTTACTTTGATGAAGAAATGAACCAGATTTTATCAGATCCTGATGATGACACCAAGGGCTTCTTTGACCCCAACACTAAGGAGAACCTCACATACCTCCAGCTGGTTGAGAGGTGTATTACAGATCCCATTACAGGCCTCAGTTTATTCCCACTACAGAAGTGAACAGCAATTCGCTTCTTTAATAACTGAATATAGCATAAAAAAAAGCTTCTTTCTGAACTAAAAAAAAGATACTTTAGAAGTTGTACTTAACATGTGAAGACAATATACTGCAATATTATCATTACTAAAATATGAACCAGGAGATTGATTACAAAAGAACTTTGCCTATTTGCTTTTATTGTACAATTTTGGAAGTGTAATAAATGCATATATGGTTTTTTTTTAAAGAAAAAAACCCATTTATAATTACCAAAGAAAATGGAACAATTGTTTTTATTGTAGAAAGTGGTCACAGAACTGACATACACAATGGAATTAATACATTTTTAATTGAGAGACATAAACCAAAGACTGTGCTTACAACCACTATTGTAACCAAAATTCAGCATTTACATTTAATTTGCACCTAGTAAAGCTGAAAATCCCGGCTTTATATAAATCAATATACATAGTAAAGAGGTCTTAAGTCTCTTTATGTCTTTGCTTTTTAAAATGTTGAATTTTTAATGCTGTTTTTATGGTTTACCATTTTTCATGTTGTTGTGGGACATATGACTCTGTTTCTTTTACACTCATGGAAGTAGTTGAGTCAAGACAGACCCAAGTTTAATTAACCTAAATGGGTAGTGCTGTTTCAAATTTGGGCAAAAATTGAATGTGGGTACATTTAAAATACTTTTTTTGCCCTTGTTTTTGTTTAGTCTGTTATTTGGCCCAATAAACAAGTGAATACTATATTGTGTCTTTTATTATCAAACACTCTCCTTTGACCATGTTTACATTATTGGAAAAATCATATAGGCACTTAGATCCATTCATGTGTTTACATGTATTTGCTATTCTTAAACATGTTGCTACAAGCAAGGTATGAATCCAGTATGACCAGTCCCTTAAGATGACAAATGTAAATTTATACTGACAGGACAGCACTCTCTAGTGGAAATAAAGACCAATACAACCCTGATTCTCTTGTGACATGTTAAACATTTATTTTTGATCAAAAAAAAAAAATCAGAAATCACATTTTTAAAAAAAAGATACACGCAAATGAATATTTAGTTTTACAAATAAAATGATCTATATACAGTACTAGGTGTCACGCATTGTGTGTTGGTTATTGTCAAAACAAAAAACAAAACCCCCCACCTGACATTAATGCGGTAGTAACAGGTTTGCAAACTACTGCTTCTTGCATTCAAACACAGAAATGTCAATTTCGTACCAACAACAGACAGAAAAAATGTCTATCAAAAAAGTCCTGAGGGCAAAATATTCACATCGATTAGACAATATAACCCACAGCGAGGCCTGCATTAAGATATTCAAGTCTGCCTTGTAAACTTGGTTTCTCATTTCTGGAACCACATGAATGTGAGAGCTATTCCAATTTGTCCAGCAGCTGCCGGATGTCTTCTTGGCCACGATAAATCCTCTTTACACCTCTTGGGAGATAGCGGCAGGATGAAAGGTTGAGGTAGTCTAGAGCAGTCATTTGTCCAATGACTGGCCTGCAAAACAAAGCACAGACGTGAATGGGAACGACTGATTAATTCTCAGTTCTTTTTGGATGCACTTTGTCTAATAAAGAGGTTATTTTGGATTTGCGGCGCTACTGAGGTAAGTACAAAACAACTACCTGAGTGCACGTGGTGTAATTCTGGTCCCACTCAAGTTCAGTGAGCGCAGTGTGTCTGCCTCAGCTTGACAAAGGTAACTCATTGCTAACTCCAAGTCTTCCTCAGTGAAGAGCTGATGTGCAATGTCCAGCTGTTGCAAAGTTCGACTCCATTTTTGGGTCAACGTGTGAAGTCCTTTCTTAAGCGATGACAGCCCAACATGGCTGCTGAAATATTGTCCCCAGAACAAACATTCAAGCTCTGCCAAATACAAGACAGTAAAATAAAGCAGATAAATGTTTGAAATGGTTTTAAAATGTGAAGCCTTCAAATAATTCAGACACATTTTGTGTACAAACTGTACTAAACTGTCCTGACTCCGACTTCCAGGTCATCATAGATTCATTCTGAAAAAGCCAAACTGAGCTGCTCGGTATTGGTGACATAAAGCAAAAAGCATTAATTTCCTGACAAACATACCTAGACAGGGTAAATCTGCAAGACCAGACGCTGTGATTCGAGAACAGCCTCGCAGGTCCAGCACTCGCAGTTTGGGGGAATCGAAGAGAATGTCCCTCAAATCTCTGTCGGTCAAATAGGAAAACGATGTGGTTGCGATACAAAGCTCCTCCAGTAATGGGAAGCCTGATGTTGGGTCGATACCAAAACGCATTCCCTTATGAAGAGGTTGGACGTTCATCATTCGGAAGGTCTGATGGGAAGCAGTACGTAAGCGTCACGGGAGAACAAGTAACCTTTAGCAAAGTGCAAACTCTGCCAGTAGATAAGAAATTACAGCTACTGGCTTTAGTGCTACTTGGGCGTTTCCTTATTTTCTGTCACATACATGCTGCACAGTAGCCAAGTATAAGAGGAATAAGAACTACTTTAGACTGTCAATGAAATAAAGTCATTCTACTAGAGTCCAAGAATAAAAGGTGGAGCAGGAATTGTGAAGAACATGCTCACTTAAATAACTGTTCTGTAGCATTTCAAAAAAAAAATAAAAAAAAATAAAATTATATAAAACCAGGGTTCATAACGATAATTTCAAATGCACCTTGTTTTTTCAACCAGCAGTCAAGAACCAAGAGATCCAAAAAGTCTTTGAAAAGCTGGAATTTAAATATTAACAATAAACAATCAATCAACAATTAATAAAACGCCTGCTTTTCTTCATCTTCTTAATTAAGAGTTTAAACTTTAATGTAAAAAAGCTAATGTAGTCACACTAAAACAGAGAAGACCTTTGTTTTACCTTGAGCTTAGGGCATGCCATCTGTAGTGCCTGGATGCAAACAGGAAGTTGGCAGTCTTTACTGTCAAGCTTGGTGTTGACCTCCAGCATCTCCAAATCGGGACAGCATCCCCGCTGGAAAAACAAAAAGCAATGCTATGCATTTATTAAGCTCATTTGTCCAGTAGCACTGACTTTGTGTAGCACGTGTTTCACAAACAAAGAGAGAAAAGTCTTACAGTGATTGCAGCCAGAAGTCTGTCATTCTTTAGTCCATGACTGAACAATATTTGCCTGATCTGGCTCCCATGGTTTTCAAGATACTCAAGGAGTCCTTCAACCTGGAACTACAGCAAAAGCAAGTTATCCTGCAAATTCTCTACATGCAATCATGCCTGGATGAAAAAAGCTCTCCTTATGATATATCACCTATATAAAGTGGATGAAGTTTCTTATGAATAAAAAAAATGATAATCTGCATTGGGAAAATACCCTTAAAGCTCATATAGTTAATATAAGACAAGTAAAAACAGTTGAGATATTTTTCATCATAAATATCTGCTTATCTTGTTTAAAGTGCTTAACTCATTCACTGCCATTGACGTCTATAGCCGTCAATTGCAGTGTATGAGTCAGTGGGTTTAACTCATTCACTGCCAATGGCTGGCAGTGAATGAGTTAACATTAAATTCTTGACAAACCCTTAAAGTTACACTTTAAATTTAGAGCAAGCATAGAGAAACTTTCCCTGTACTGTAAAACACTGCACATTCATTGCACTGTGTAACTTCATTACACAGTGAAAGATCTTTGCATGGCTTCTATTAGAAAATCTCTACACAGGTCCACGTACCTCTGAATACTGGAGATTTAAGCTGTGCAGGGAGCGGCTGTGCAGACCGAGGCAGCGAAAGGCCGCCGCTGTCACTCCTGTGCAGTAAGAAAGCTTGAGGGAGCAAAGATCAGGGCAGTACTGCGACACAACCTGATGATGATTTCAAAAAAAGCCACATACTAAGTATTAAATAATACAGATAAACCAAAATTTTAATAAAACATTTATTCCTTTATATATTGTTTTTAAGTGAACTGTAATTTATGTATGAACAGGATCCAAAATGAACAAACACCAGTGTGTGAAGGGGAGTTTCTCAGTTTAAGACTTATTTTGTATTCAGGCTTGTTAAATTTTGCCTGGTCTTGTCAGGCTAGGAAGAAAATATTTGCAACCAGTGTGGTTTTTTTAATGTAATGTAATCAATATGCTGGAAAATCAAAAATACTCTCTGGACAAAAACAATATCCTATTGGGATATGGGGCTTATGGGATCAGATTATATTTAATGATGGACATCTTAGTTCATTTTTCACTACAGGTTGTCATCAATATGTTCACTGTAAAATATAAAAGGGAGTTACTTCAAATTGCCTCCAACAAACACCAGAAATATTCTTTAACTTTACACTCTCTAAGCTTGAGAAGCTGAAACCAACTTATTACCAAGAAAGAAAAATAATCAATGATTATCAAAACAGTTGCCAAGAAAACGTAAGTCTTGACTATTACTGTATTTTTAAAAATACTTTAAGAAATGATTTTTATGTTCTTTTCTTTGAACTTGTGTGAGGAGAGCTTGTTTGTGGATTTGTATGTGTATGAATGTACTAATCATTTCAGATGAGAAGGTCTTTCAAATAATGTTTAATTCTCGATGACTTACCTCTAATGCATAATCAACGTTCTTTGTCCAGTGACACAGAGAAAAGTCTCGCAGCTGAGAGAATCTAGAAAACAACACAGTTTAGAATTCATTTACATGATTAAGACTTAAGCAAAAAGCTAAATAAAGTACAAACCTGCTGTGTGCCAGCCAGTCCAAAGTGTCCTTAATCTTCTTCTGAGTTTTTGGTAGTTGGCTCCTCCCTGGTGCAATCCAGCAGTGACCGACAGTCACTCTGTGCCACAGGATCGGACTGGAGGCAGCGGCGTTCCACAGACGACAAACTCTCCCCACCCTGCACCGAAAACACCAGGAAGAATTAAACGGTGCGGTGCTTAGGACTGTCACTTGACCTCAAGAAGGTTCTCTGGGTCGGTATGCTGGCTTCCTCACACTGAGTGTCTCTATATGTTAGCCCAGTGACACACTATCGACACTTCCAGAGTGTGCCCTGCCTCTGACCCTATGAATGACAGCTGGGATAGCCTCCAGCCTCATCACAAGTCATCATTTGTGAATTGAATTAAATGGAAGAAGATGGATTCATTGACTTTTACTTCCCAAAGTAGAGCTGAAAAATGCATATCCAACACAGCTTTTTAAATGTGAGTATCTCCTTGTTCTATCATAGTAATGTGAATGCGTTAAACTGTTCAATCGCACAAAACAAACATGTAAAGAAATTTTCTTGAAGGGCGTTTTATCAGTTTTCTTAATGTTTATCCATAAAGTTAAATAACTTACAGTCTTAATAATAATAATAATAGTAATAATAATAATAAAGGTTATGTAGAGAGATTCAGACTTTAAGTTATGAGATTGATATCCAAGGTATTGAAGTAAGTGAAAGATAATTAACTTGCATGAAATGATTTTGATTAAAATAGTGTATGCAACATTTCAGTCTTAATCTCATAGGTTTAATTACAAATAAATCACATGTACGACACAATACCTGCATAAAAAGGGCACTGCTCCCTCTTGAATGACCACAATCTGAAAAATATTAATTAGCATCTCCTCAGGCAGGCTGTGGCCCCATCTGTGGTCGTCTTCTTCCTGAGTTATAAACAAATTTGCGACTTTTTCTTCTTTTTCTATAACTGGTTTACTTTCCAGTTTGGGCTTGGCATTGACTGGCTTCTTTTTCTTGACCTGACTGGCTTTTCCTTTTCCTTTTGCCAACTTCTTCTTTTTGCTCCCCTTCTTTTTCTTAAGAGTCCACACTGACCCGTCATACTGGGAGGTGGAACTCGATATAACGAGAAGCATATCTTCCCCTTGATGGACAGTATAACCAGGCCGGGCAGGTCTGGACACTCGAGCCTTTTTGTGCTTCTTTTTTGCTTTGGCATCTGCAGCTCTTTTCAAAGATGCCTTTTTTGGTCTTGCTCCAGCATCTCCTTGAGCTGATGATGCACCTTCCTCTTTTCCCTGATTCTGTGTTGAGGCTTCTGCTTCAGATGCATCCATAGTTGCTGCTATCTTGAGTTTACAGTGAGATTAAATCCAGGAAAACCAGTTATCAGCATGATAGTCTCATAGGTGGTAATGTCTGGAATGAGAAGCAGATCAAGATAAGTCTGTGAGAGTAATCTGATCTCCACTGGGGGTAAAACAAAACACACATAGTGAAGTGAGAAAAGTGGCAACAAAAACAAAACTGTAAAAGTCACGTCTAAATTATGGTTAGATAAAGTGAACGAGGATGTATCAACATGACTTTAAATTGACCTCCCTATTTGCATATTGTAGACTGCACATAAAATATCAGATTGCTTAAGAATTGATTGTTCAGAACTCCCAATATTTAGACACAAAATTCCCACTCAGCTGTACAGATGCAAAACACCCTGCACCAGGTCTGTTTCTGCAAATAAGTAATGAGGAGTTTTTATACACAGAACACTTGTAACTATTCACAATAGGTAATCTCACTAAAGTAAAAGTTCGAATAACTACACAGTTGGCATGCTCAGAGTTGAACAGGTTTGTTGATAAAAGTCTTTCTTGACGAGCTTGGGTGTGTCAATAGATGGGGGAAGAGATTTGGTGTGAAAATGTGTTGTTTTCCTCTGCAGAGGATACATTTTTGTGACATACTGCTCCATCTGTAAACTTTACTTAGACTACAGACATCTGTTTTTAAACTAAGACATCTGATGTATTTTGATAACAAAGGGTAAGCAAATTACAGCTGCAGGGTTCAAAATAACTAGTGGCCCACTGGGGCCAGTTTCCATGTATCAATTCACTGGCCAAAAATGAACCGACAAATTAGTATTTTTTTCATGCAGGTAGTATTTGAAAAGTGCGACTAAATAAAGCAGAGCTGTCTGTATGCAGTCTGTTTATTCAGTTTGAAATGATCGTTAAAAAAAGGCAGATTTTATAGCCGAAGGCTAACAGCTGTGATTCCTGCAGGGAAAGAGGGCTAGATAATGTTATACATGACAATTATTTTACAGCTTTAGCTACCATTTACTTGGGAGATGTAACTTTATAAAATATAAGTCTACTATTATTTTATACTACATTATTAAAGATAGAGCTTCCAGTATTGAAAACAATTAAATTGGCTTCTTTGGGTCATTAAAAATATTGTAGAGGCCAGTGAAAGTTTGTTATACAGGCCCGTAAGTCAAAACGTGGTATTGTGAATAGTGAACATTAACAGGCTTTTTTTCTGATTTTTTAATTAATTCTACACAAGCTGAAATATTCAAAGCCAATATATGATAGTTAAAGCTGGGATAACATATAAATACAAAAATCTACTGTGGTATGACCAAACATCTAGAAAGTTGCTATTTATGTTAGTCACCTTCTTTACCTGCTTCCATCTGCCTCCATCTCACCCTCTCCCTACCATCATCTGTCACACCCACCCTTCTGTATGTCCTCCTTCAATGCATCCATGGATCTCCTCTGCAGTCTTCCTCCTGTCTGGCATTTCCATATTCAGCATCCCTTGTAAAATATATTCACTATCCCTCCGCTGCACATGCCCAAACCATTTTTAGCTTTGCCTATCAAACGTGTTCTCCAAATGACTGTCCCTCTGATATCCATCCTAGTCCCTTCCAAAGAAAATCTTCCAACTCTAACACCTTCAGCTCCAACATCTTCAAACCATAAATCCTAGCAGGTCTCACTACCATCTTGTAAACCTTCCATTTAAGTCTTGCTGCTATGCTTCTGTCACAAATCACCCCATCTCCACCCACTCCATCTTCTTCATCTCTCTTGTGCACTGTCCTTAGGATGATTGACCCCAGGTATTTAAACTAACACTAACTTCACTAACTCTATACCTTGCAACTTCTCTATCACACCAGTCTCCATCTCATTCACAAACGTGGATATGTCTAGCTTCTGCTGACTTTCATTTCTCTTAAGAGCATAGCTCCACCTCTCCAAACTCACTTACACCTTCTACCTACCTTCACTACATCTCACATTGTCCTCTGCAAATATCACAATGATGACCACATCTATAACAATGCCGAGTTGTTACAGCCACATGAAGCCAAGGATCCAATATTGCGCTGCAGAACTGTAATTTATTTAATTTGTCCCTGTTTTCTATTGTTTGGAGTTTCAATGTGGGGTACAGTAACTGCATCCTGAAAGAGGCTAAGGTGGATTTTACTGAATGCATTTGTAGTTTTGTTGTTGTTTTATGTAACGATATGAGCCATATTAACAGAAAATTGTTGCTCACGTTTGCTAACAAGCCGTTTTCCACTTCAAAACTGCGCGCGCATGTTCATTGTTTGCAAACAGAAAACGGCTCTACCGACGACTTTATGTGAAGCACGAGAAATGACGATCAAACACAATATATTAACATTTTATTATTACTAAGCTCTTACCTACCTAGCCATCGTTTAGAGAGTTAGCTAACGCTACCTGACACCAGTTAACTGAGCTAGTTCCCACAAATCGCCCTGGAGCACAATATGACAAAATACGGCATGGAAATCATTGCGACGGCGGCAGTAAGCATTATCAGAGCCTGTCGATAATTAAACAAATGTTATTAACAGAAATGCTTTTTAAACAATACATTCATAAATTGCTGTTTTACATTACCTGCCGCTAGATCACGAAGACAACTGCAATAAGTGGACCCATAATGCACTTCGCATTGTTGGTATTTTTTTTTTAAACAAAAAACTTTATTAAATGTCTTCAAGTAACAAAATATTACCGTCGTTATAACACATTCAGCTGCAATTCCACGCAGACTAAATATAAATATATATTTTTAAAAAAAACTTTAAATCATTTATTTACTTTTAGAGTTGCATTTCCCACAAAACTGAGAGCATTTAAAAAAACCCACCTACTCATTATGAAAAAATAAATAAAAATTTAAAATCATTATTTGCATAGAAACACGCAATTTAACAATAAATATATAAAAGTGCAGTCTTTTCAATGAAAACTAACATCCTATAGGATAACACGTTAACCAACAACACAGTTAAAGTTGAAAATCTGTCGTTCCCAGTTTCTTCTTCTGTGGGGCTTCACGGCCGTTTCGCAGCAATGATTCGTTGAGACCTCGACAAATGCCCGCCTTCTGTAAAACCAGCCAATCGTTGCAGCGCACGGTCTCCACCCCTTCATGGTGTATTCTGAGAGGGAGCGTGTCCCAGGCGCCTGGTATTTTTGTTTCTGGGTAAGAACTTGTACTACTAAATCATAGATTTACAGCGCATACAGTTCAAATTATTTGGGAACGCTACAGAACCCAGCACATCTTTCTGCTCAGGTATTAATCACGGATTATTGCACTTTTGCATGCTTAGTTTTGTGCTAGTAAAGTAGGTGCTAATAGTAACATGTTGCTCAGAAGGCTAGCATTAGCATGTAGATTTAGTCCAGCATTAGCATTCACTTAGAGATGTAGCTACAATCCTTTTTTTCCGAAAAACCTGCTTATAACGCCATTAAATCACAGGAATAGTCACATATTTCGATGTATTTATACATGTTAGGGATTAATTATGCATGTTTACTGATAATAAAACACACATAGTATCCAATAAGGATTCTTTACATAGCTTAGCCCCTCTCACAAGATAAATTAGTATATGATATACATGTTCGTCATACAAGTGCACTTAAATATATTATTTCTGCAGAATGTTTAGTTGTTGTTTTGTACTTTTGATCTGCTATGACATGCACCCCTGTAGTATTTAACAGCCATAGATATGGTAATTTTATTTATTCATCTATATTTTGACTAGTTATAATTACAGACCAACTTTTTAGAAATTCACTTTGATAAGTAACATCTATAATTAGATACCCAGAGATCTTTTTTATTTTTTCAAAATGTTATTAATAACTTTGTCTTTGCATAACTTTAATAGCTAGTCAAAAACTTATAACTGACATGTATTCAAACACCATTGCAGGCATTTATATTTAATATTTTTATTTTATAATTTACATGTTTGTTACCTACTTTAGACTAGTTGTAGTTCTCTTTAATTCAGTTTTAATCAGTTAAAAATAATTATGATGATCACTTAAGTTGCTCCTGAAAACAGTGTTTACTGTAGATCATTAAATGTTATTTGAGAAGTAAAAATTAAACTATGAATATGTCGTTTTGGAATTTTAACTAGTTAGAATATATGTCACACAGTTTTGTAACATTACATTTTTTACTAGTACCAGCTATATTTAGAAAAATGGGTAATGGGTACAACAAATCACTGTAACATATGTAAACATATGTGGAAATGTAATATACAAGGTAAAAACTGAGTTTCTACAATTCTAACAAGTTTGAAAGTCAATGTTTGATAGGACCATCTATATTCTTCAATGCAGCCTTGATTGTTTTAGACATGCTTTATTGTCATTTCTTTAAGAAATCTTCTCCAGGCTTCTTGAAGGGCATTCAAAGGTTTTCTTTGGAAGTTGCTTGCTCTTTGTTCCGTTCTCTGCCAATATCATCCCACACTGCTTCAGTGATGTTGAGGTCAGCCTGTGACTGATAGTGTTCAGTTGTGTGCTTTTCTATCCAGGTGTGCTTTTACTACATTGACAGGGATCATTGTCATGCTGAAAAATGAAGTTGTAGCCAATCAGATGCTTTCCAAATTGTATCGCATTGTGGTAAAAATCTGTGTGCATTCTATCAGTTTTGACAAGATCCAGCTTCCTCAGATTTATTAAAGACACAACGCACACCATGCTGAGATGTACTATATCTCAGCATATATGTTTGGACAACAGCTCTTTTGGAATCACCTTGTTCATCCAAAAATACTATTATATGTCTGTCAGACTGTGCTATCATTGTCATTTTTCATAAGCTCAAACAAACTAAAACTAAATGACAACACATAATGTTTTGTGACAGGCTGCTAATAAGTAGTCTGATATGTATAAACATGCTGTCATCGCTTCACTTAGGTTTGTTTTTATACTCAAATAATTCAATAATTAAGCTAAATGGCTTGAAAACAAAAATACTCTGAAGGTGGTACAGAAATGGATGAAAATGCTCCCAGTGTCCAAAGAAACACTTTGAAAGAGCTTCAGAAAGCCTGGTAGTGTTGAAAACCACTTTAAAAATTACAGGAAAGTCTGGTTGAGACAACACACAAAGAGATTGGGGGGGGGGGGGGGGGGGGGGGGGGTTGAATCACAGATGAACAAATGAACTGGGCATATGCTTGATAAAATACAGACATATTAGAAATGTAGTTGCTGATATATGCAGTTCTTACAAGTGAAAAGTAAACTGTTTCTCTGTGTGAAAATGTAATTTTGTAAAAACAAAGAATTTAATGTGTTTTGTTTGAAAGTCAGATTGTTAGTAATCAGTCTGATTGATTAACTGAAAAGATTCAATTTAGTAACATAAAATTTTATTATAATGAGAATAAAATATAAACAACTTGTTTTCTTTTTTAGGGAATACAGAGTGTCAGTGTTGTTTCTTTGCAGATGCTTAAAGCAAAGTCTCACATTTGTCTGAAAAAACTCAGGCCAAATATTTTCATCTTTATTAGAGTTATGTCAAATTTCAGGTCCATTCTGAAATAATAGTTTTCTGAAAAAAGCATTTTAATGGATGATGGTAGTGGTGTTGAGCCATAGTACCCTAAATATTCGAAGGGCCGTGCTCAAGTAGTTTTCCAGATAGTGAAATTTCAAATTCCCTCTGAAAAGATGAAAACTAATGACAGTAGGGACCTGAAATTTTTAACACTAATGTGATTTTTTTCAGAGAAATTTGACATGGCCTGGATCCAAGACATTTTATGAAAATACAAAACATAAAATAAAACGACATGATGCGATAAGGAAATGGTTGTTACTTGTTGTTTGTGCCATGATGCACTTTTTCTCACTGTGATGTATTAGAACTATTACTCTTTATGGGTTTTAGTAGGGGAAGATAAAAAATGTGCAAGAAAAACGTAAATAATTATTATTAAGATCATAACATTTTGAAATATCAGCTACAGTTTTAACTGTTTAGTTTCAGTCATTCATCTTCATACAAATTTAGGACAAATTTGTCATTGTAAAAGCAGGGAAATGTTCTCGTCCACTGTTATTTTGTTTGGTCTGTCAGATCTTAATCATGCTGATTTGTCATGCATTATCCATCCAGTTTTTGTCTTGAAAGCGTCGTCTTCTGTAGACTGAGGACTGAAGAATTTCATCTCTGTCTCTTTTAAAACAGCATACAATGGAGGATGGTCAAGATTTTTCTCTTTGTGGGAAAGCAGCTGTGACTGAAGCCAATCTAAGTAAGTCTGAATGCATTGCAAGTAAACAGCTACTTAGTAAAGCTTGTATTTAAGTAGAGCTGGGCGATATGAGATTTTTTCATATCACGATATGTTTTTTTCATTTCAGGCGATAACGATATCTATCACGATATAAGCCAAATAACTATATTTGTAAGATTTAAATGTGCCGTTGCTCACAAGTAAAATGTGAAATAATCAGCAGCTTGTTTTTATTTAAATATTTATTTCCCATAATAAGTTCAACAGGGTAGATGTACTTAAGGAACATGAGACTTTTTCAGATAAATAAAGGCAAATATTACAAACTACACAAAAGACAGCCGCTAAAGCGTTTAAGTTTCAAAATAGAACAAACGAAACAGACTAAATTGTCAATTCCACTTAGAAACAAAATATTAATTCTAAAAATAAATCTTAGTTTGTTTTACAGAAGAACAGACAAAACTGACTAACTTTTGTCAATATCAAATAAACTGAGAACTAAAAGGAAATTCTCAATCTCTCCTTGTTGTATAGCTGAGCTTTTCAAACAGTTTTAACAGTTACTTTAGTCTGACAAAAACCGAATGACGAATTAGCGCTTCCAGTCAGAGACTCAGGCTACGTCCACACGTACACGGGTATCTTTGAAAACGGAGATTTTCCGTTTTCGTTTTAAAAAATAATCCCGTCCACACATAAAGGCAGAAATGAAGGAAAACGTTGCTATGAACATGCCAAAGCAGCAGGTGGCGCTAGATTCCTAACCGTGCCGAAATGTTGGCCAATCAGAAGTCTAGAAGCCTCGGTGGGAAAAAGTAAACAAAGCTGGGGCATAGAAGCAGAACCGAGTCGTATGTGTGGACGGACAGTAACTGTGTGTATATGTAAGCATTTAAACACTGCAGAGAGTAGAATTAACAGTAACAGTATTGTAGAAATTCATTTCACCGAAACAATAACGTGGCGCACAGTGTGACGCATGCACCAGTTTATTGTATTTCCAGACTTGCTTTCGGCACAATTTACAGTGCACGCTACTCTGTTTTTTGTCAGACTTGAAATAGCCGAAATACCTTCACACTACGGAACTTCTTTGGCTCTTCCGTTCGACAATCTCTCCGGCATTGGAACCATCATCTGTTTTCTCTTCGGTCACGCTCGGTTGATTTTTCTAGTCGGCACACTCATTTCCTCCATTAGGCGCTGGCTCCATTACCCGCTGGCTGCTTCCCAAACAAACACACGTGCGGCTTGGCACTTGTGCTGTATGTAACAAGTCACGCGACGTGATGCTGCGGCTGTGATTGGTTCGGCTCTGCGCTACTTAATTTGGATTGGCTGACCTTTTTTTTTTTTTTTTTTTTTTTTCTTGAG